CGAGATGGACGGCGGAGATGATGAACATCGCCACAGATGCACCGAAAAGAGTTCGCAGCATGGTAGAGATTTTGCCGTACTTGGTGCTACGGCAGCTAGCATCAGTTATGTATCGACATAGATGGCCTAAATGATTCCCGAGGGCGTACACGAGAATGCAGCAGACCAAGACGATTAATATGAAATATGATCCTAAGTAAGGAGGAAATATCCATCATAATCACTCGAAGAAATCGATGTGGTCTCGTACCAACGAAAAGCGATTCAGACATTACAGCGACGAGCTGCAGAATTTTGCTAGCGAGGAATTCCTCTGTTACGGCCATGTTGAGAGGCGAGAGGCGGGAATGAGTTGCATAACGTCCGCAAAGCGATGATAGGTACAGGTTTATAACAGCTCGAAGTGACTTGAAGGACCAGCGAGTGGAGATATCGTCAGGAACGAATGCTCGATGCTCGCGAACCAGATGACCGTAGCCGGTACTCTGTTCTCCCTCTAATGAATCAGATTACTATGCAGGTTAGCACAGGCAGAACCAGGATGCTGCAGTCCATTGACCGCCAAACGGCTTCCGCATATCGATTTGGGGCACGTATGTAGTATTCTGCCAACCAGAATCCAAGGGCGGATTCTGGTTTTCGGTTACCGACGCCGAGTATGACGGAGCTGCCCTGCAAGTAGAGACAGATTAATCCGCTGGCCCGCTAGAAGGTGTATCAGACTTCCAAGTACGGAGGTGATGGTGGATAGTGTTCGTACTATGATTTCGGCTCACGTCGACAAACCCGGGAGACCATGTGCGTGATTATTTTGGCAAAGTCCATACCGCTTTCCCCGGAGAGCCCCCTGTTCAGGAGAAAAAACGTGTTCACCGGCAACTGGTGCTCATCGAACATCAACCCGGACAAGAAGGAAGGGAGGCAAGCTGGTGGCAAGTTGAAGTTCAGAAGAAATGAAGGTGGGAGCAACGTCGGAGTTAGTACTGGTTCTAGATGAGTCATCAAATCATTCTCAATCCAGCGCCAGCGGTGGAAAACTCTTGGTCACTACGCTACGATGCTTTGAATCTTGAACCATACAACGGCTGGATCGCGCGTCGTACAGCTGGAAACCTTCACATCACTTAGACGCTAGAACATAGAGCTGTGAGGCTGCAAATGGCTATCTTGATCGACAAATAATCCGTGCCTTCAGATATCGTGAGTCGTCCATACTGGTAGTGTTTTTATCGGCTAAAAATGCTATGCTCAGTGTCCCAGGGTGTGAGATATATCAGGAGCTATCCATGGTAGAGCCATGGGTAGTGAGCAGGCCGAGGTTGACCTTGGGTGGACAGTGGATTGCAGCAGTCGTCGTACGACTCATGTCTTCAAGCCGATATTCTGTTATTATAATTCGGCCAGCCTACCAGGGTATCTATCCCATTGATTATCTATGTTCCTTAGGCTTTTCGCGTACAGCATTCCAATGACTACGAATACAACGAACTTATCTAGGTGTGGGTATCGGCAGAACCTGCTCCTGCTCGCAGGACGCCTCCAAGAATCAATTCGCAGTGGGATCGACCGCAAGACAGTTCCCGGAAATGTTTCCCTTCTGAAATGAATTCACTATGAAACTTCAATAGCACAACAACTGCGCGATTTACTCACGTATCCGTTATCCAAGCAGCAGGCCACAATTTGATTCGGGCATGGAGGTGGCCCAATGCCCGGGAATCTGGTAGAAGTGCAATTTACTTGTGGGATGGTAAGTCTCCTCTGACCCATAAAATGTGTACTGAACACGCACAGCCGAATGGGACGTCGCCTGTAAGAAGCGGAATTTCCGCCGCGTTGAGGGCGAGAATGACTTCAGTATCCCTCGACTACCCAGAGTTCTTCGAGTCAGTTCTCATTCATGCGATCGATGGACGTGAACAGTGGCATACACTCTTAATCTTGTCACAGCACTGGAGAGCAGCACCGCCAGTGCATGAAGCTGGGGCCAGACGTGCAGCCATGACAAGGGGAAGCAGAAGCGTTGTGATAGAAAGTGCGGGAACGAACATGTTGAGAGTGGTTTCGTTTATGGGACGACGTTTCAATGCAAGTGACGCTCAACAAACGATGTCTGCCTTTTATGTCCCTAACCTCGATGCTTCCATTGCTTCGTCATCCCCCACTCAAGCACAATTGTGAGTGTCAATACTACGCTCTAGCTCGAAAATTCATTCAACCTATGGCAGCATTCTCGGGACTATAAAGCTACTCGCTCGACTTCTCGCTCAATTGAGTCTGTCATCAGTTTGATCCGCCATTTGGTGGAGAGCGACAGCATGACCCCCGCCTTAAACCCACGGTACCTCCAGCTCCGATACCTTCAAGATAATGGGCCAGGCAGTCAGACTCCCCTGTACTTCCAAGAATATTCCCTATGGTATCGAAGCGATGCAAGCTGGTGCCCATTGTGGCAGATGCTCCCTGGCCTTTCCTGCGGGCAACCGAGCGGTGAGGACGGCAGCGCATGACAGCTAGACTTGAACTATCGATGTGTACATCCAATCCGCGTGCTATGAACGACTTTAATACGTTATGTACCTAGTAACAGAACATCAATTATTTTACTCAAAAATACCTTCAATGGATGATGACACCTCGAAGTGACTGGCTAATCCGACTCAGATGACTAGGTGCGCCTCGATAAAAGCTTTTCAAGTTTCAACGCTTTTCGAGATGTTACTAGGTTATTTACCACCACAGCTGTACCTCGCTAGAAAGGCTCTCTTAGAACGGTGGGTCGTTAAACTGGTCTCTCCGTGTGCCTTCGCTCGTGTTTTATATCCTTCGAGGGCCGTCCATCTCTGCTGTATGCCTTTCATTTCATCTTCGATTTAGTCCTTCTACATTTCTAGACGCGATTCACGACCGCGTTCCAGTGCCGCGTCATGTTGATTCCTCGAGACATGGAAGTTGAGGAGTCCAAGAGATTAGGTCTCCGACGCTTCTAAGTTTGCTGCAACTCTTGCACTGCCCAGCCTGTCTGCTGCACCGGGGCAAAAATCGTAAGGATTCGAAGACTTCCCGGTGATTTCAATAGGCGCTGAAACCCTATTTTAGGTCGGCGTCCTCGCAGTTGGCTGTACCCCAGTCGACCTCAACCTTTAGAGGTCCCGTAACGTTTGATTCATAGTATACTACGGACGTTGTATTTAGCGTCTAACTCAAGCAATGAATGTTGTTGATACCCACGGGCACAGGAAAATCGCCGTGGCACTCGCACGCAAGCGTGCCACTAGCGTGCAAGCGTGGCACGCTAGTGTCCGTAAATATAAGCTGGGATTCGGGTTTTGGGACACCATATCAGTTTTATGAGACTCGGAGAGGGTGTATAGACTGCTTACCACCATTATTGAAGCGAAATTTCTGCTCAGAAAGTTCGCTAGGGCACTCGAATTGATGTCGAAAACTGGCTTGCACGCTAGCACAGCCACATCCGCACGCAAGTTGCACGCTAACTGCACGGCACTGCACGCTAGGTGCACGGCAATGCACGCGAGTGCACGTCAACGCACGCGAGTGCACGTCAATGCACGTCAATGCACGCGAGTGCACACTGAGCACGTCGATGCACGCGAGTGCACGCTGATGATCATCGATGAAGAATTCAACTGCCTGTGGGGCTCGGGGTCGATCCAAGCCCTCGATCGAGGTCTGACCCAATGAGCAGCGCTCAGCCACGTCAGGTTCGTTCATTCCTACATTCCCTTATCCACTCCGTGAGTAACGTTGGCTCTCGTAAGTCACCCCATGATATCATCTATCGCATCTGGTTTCAATCTGGATTATCTACTTTTTTGCGCAAGATTATCTGCAGGGCTTCTTCTGTCGCAAGCGACATACATCATCATTTCGTGTCAACTGAGTCTGGAAAGGAACTAGCGGCGGGACAACTATACGAGACGCAGGGCCCTCCCACTCACCTCAATGAGCTGTTAAATGGCTGTGTCCCTGTGTATGACCCCACTGGTAAGCATACACTCTCGAGTTAAAGATCACTCACTCATCAATTCCATGGTAGGTGAAGTGATAGGCTACGTACGTCGCGAACAGAATGTTACTTCGAAGAGATATCCTAAGCCTGTCCTAGGTAAGAGCAAAAATTTAACAAGCCTGCCTATATAATTTTTGACTTGAGATAGACAACATCTCGAAGAACGTAGCCTACTGAGTTTGTAGTACTATTTAATTGTATAAGCATTGTTCCAAGTTCGTTGAAGGTACTCCGGAATAATGAATTGAATAAGTATCGTAAGTACCGTCACCTTCGAGATTCTGTAGTATCCCCATGGGGGACGTACAAAGTCAGTTCTTCAAGGGACTCAAATATACCATATATCCGTGTCTTGATAGTTGTTTGACCTTGGCTGTAGGCCCCCAAGCCTGTGGAGATAAGTCTTTGCGAGTCGAAGTTTTGTCGAGCTCATGTGACACGGCAGGTCCCTCAGACGTCGCAAGTCATCAGATTCATAGTTATCTCTGCGCTACTACATAGGAGTATGCACGCCAAAAATCAAACCTGCACGGCGGAAATCATACCTGCACGCAGAAAGGTAATTTGCACGCTAATTTATTATATGCACGCTAATTGCTTGCTGCCGTGCCACGCTAAAAAAGGTGTTTTGCACGCTTGCACGGCAGTGCCACGGCAATTTCTATAGGCCCGATACCCACCATAGCATTCTTCATTGAGCGAGGGGGCCGCAGGTGAGGGGGCAGAAAGTTACGTGAGGTTATGATGCACCTCAAAAATAAAAGGCTGGAGTAGGCGATCTTGCACCCGTCGTCCGAATACACTTCCGTCTTCTCTCAGAGAAATGGGTTACGGGACCGATCACAACAATCAGATGATGGAAGGCTTCTAGCTGAGTCCTGACCATTGACGTAGGACTAGGAAGGAAGCTTGCACCAACGAAGTACGGATCCACCGGGCAAAAACGCAGGGAATGCCTACAACTTCAAGGCTCTACCAGGGTTCGAACCTGGGTTTCGGGAAAGTCAGCCTTTGAGGACACATCAAAATCCCGAGTGATGACCACTACACTATAGCGCCTATGACGAGGCACGGTGAGGCCGAAAAGTTCATTTTCAACGATGTCTAGAACTGAAAATCAAAAGGTACTGAAGAAATGTCAGAGAACGGGCCTGGGGAATGAGGCCTGAGGGCCAGGACGTACGGGTTTCTGGGTCAAATGTCTTCGAACGTTAGTCCGGCCTGCATCCTGTGCAGGTTGTCTAACCTCGGGTTCCCGGATAAACCCTGTCGATGGGTTGCTTGGCGCTAGAGATCTGTACTTGCGGCCATCCACGATGAGTCGTGCTTCAAAGCTGAATCTCCAGAAGAGGTCTATCAAATACGATTGCAAAATGGTAGGTCGACGTCGCAAGGAAACAGGTCATGTACCAATGCCAAGCAAGTGCGCCTTTCCGCTTTATTTCCAAGTCCCGATTCGGAACCAGCTCCGGGCTCCATCTTCTCATGTTCCTGAATCCTCTGTGAACTTCACAGGCCCCCGTTCACCCCCACCTCAACGCCATGAGCATCCTCGGCCCAACAAAAGCTCTCAGAACCGGCAGCCTCTTCACAGCCTCAAGATGCCTCGCCCGCCCACACAGAACATTCTTCGCGCGAAGTCTGGCAACAGTGGTCTCTGATGTACGTGGTTATGATCCTTCCAAGCAGACATACACCTGAGCACTGCAGTTCCGTGTTTCTAGCTGAGAAAAACACCGCTATACGACTTCCACATCGCGAACGGCGCCAAAATGGTTCCATTCGCGGGGTATTCCATGCCTCTGGTATACGGCGACGTCGGGCAAGGTACGTCTTCCCCCATATATCACGTCGTTCCGGGTTAGGGTTGTTGATGAGTTGCTGAAGTTGCCAGCCACAACCATGTTCGTAATAGCGCGGGGCTGTTTGACGTGAGCCATATGGTCCAATCCAAGTGCGTTTCTTCATGTCCTTCCGATGGGGTGGTTATTTATACACGTGCTAGCTTCCGTGGACCGACCGCATCTGGGTTCATGGAATGGCTCACGCCGGCGTCCGTGACCGCCCTCCAACCCTACCACTCGACACTCTCGGTCCTCCTTAACGAGAAGGGCGGCATCATCGACGACACGATCATCACGAAACACTCCCCCGAGGCTTATTACGTCGTCACCAATGCGGGGTGCCGCGAGCGAGATCTGCCATGGATGCAGGAGAAGTTGGCGGAATGGAATGCGAGTGAGAGGGGGAAGGAGGGGCCGGTGGAGATGGAGGTGCTGGAGGGGTGGGGGCTGCTTGCGCTTCAAGGTTCGTCTCATGTCCCTTATTCGGTTATTGCAGTTATTTACGCGGGTGGTTGTGCTAGGCCCGGAAGCGGCGTCGTATTTGCAGACCCTGACTTCGTTCGACCTCCAGCAGCTGACGTTCGGAACGTCCGCTTTCGTGCCTATAGAGGGGTTCAACCTCCACGTCGCCCGTGGCGGATACACGGGGGAGGATGGATTCGAGGCAAGCCTCGCCCTCGCATTACCAGTCCATTCCGCTGATTGGACGTTCCATTTCATCAGATCTCCATCCCCCCGTCCCAGTCGGTGGATGTCGCGAAACTCCTGAACAAGACCCCCGTCCAGTTGACGGGTCTAGGCGCAAGAGACAGCTTAAGGCTAGAAGCTGGAATGTGCCTTCACGGAAACGAACTGAATGAGGATATTTCGCCTATTGAAGCTGGTCTCGCTTGGGTGATCCGTGAGTCTGCTAATTGCGTTCTGTGGTGAAGGTGATCTGATCTTTGGTGGTGGGTGTGTAGCGAAAGCACGGAGGGAAACGGGTGGGTTCATTGGGGCGGAGGGAGTGCAGAAGGTCCTGAAAGAGGGGCCGTCAAAAAGGCGCGTGGGGCTGGTCATTGAGGGTGCTCCCGCTAGACGTGCGTTGGCCACCTCCGTACTTTCTCTACCCTCGCTAACTCGAACCAAATCTACTCTACAGAGGGCGCGAAGATCTTCGCCCCATCAGGAAAAGAACTCCTCGGTGAGTTAACTACTGTTGACAAGATCCCAGATCATGCTGATTCCCTTTCTTCGCAGGCAACGTAACGTCGGGAATTCCGTCACCGACTCTTGGTGCGAACATCGCAATGGGCTATGTGCCATCTGGGTGGCATAAAAAGGGAACTGAAGTTGCGGTGGATGTTCGGAACAAGCTGAGGAAGGCTGTGCTGACGCCTATGCCTTTTGTCCAGCCGAAGTACTGGAGAGGGTGAGCTGGAGACGTGTGGTTTATTAACGGGGCTATGAAATTTAAAGATCATCCAAGAGTTGAATATCTGAAAACTCGAAGTCAATTGCCGTCTACGCGAAGGTATTTGTAAGATAAGACACTACGCATCATAGTAGCTGTGAACCGATGCTGTCAGATCTGTCGACGCGTCGGTCCCCGGGAGGGTCTCAACGCGAGTGGTGACATCATAGGGCATTCATCACGTGACCGTTGACCACTTCACTCGCAAATTCCAGAACTTGCCGTGTGCTTAAATGTCCTCCGTAGAACCCAACTATCACTGAACGACCGTAGTCCAATGCTGCGAATACAGTGCGCGAGGCAACTCTCAAGACCTACTCAACGTGGAGTGCGCCTAGGACTCCTAGGACCCACGTTGCGCGCGGGGTCATTCGGTCGACGACACGGTGTTCCTCCGAGTCCAGCGTTAGCCTTAGTCCGGGGCTATGCCGCTGCGCAACCACCAGGGGGAGCGGGGGGTGGGATGCCGTCGTTTAGCTTTGGGCCGCAGCATCAGAAGGGGGATGCGCTGAAGGAATATGTAGGTGATTGTGCCGCTTGATGGTGGTCGTAAAATGCTCACTGACTCGTGGGCAGAGTGTGGACTTGACGGAGATGGCGAGGAATGGGAAGCTTGATCCGATTATTGGGAGAGATGAAGGTGTGTTTTGAAGCTATGGTGCTGAGGTTGGGTCACTGAGACTGGGTGTAGAGATTCGCAGGACTATACAGAGTGCGTCCCATGGCTTTGGTTCACCGCCTATTGCTTATGATGAGAATAGTTCTTTCAAGAAGAACTAAATCGAATCCTGTGGTACGTTGCGCTGCAATGTTCTGCATTCCAGTCATTCACCCCGCTACAGCTCATTGGTCCGCCCGGGGTCGGAAAGACTGCCATTCTGGAAGGACTCGCCAACAGGATCGTTTCAAAAGAGGTTCCCGAAGTGAGTGCACAGTGCATACATACCCTAACACAATCACACATAAACGTATCGCCGCTAGTCACTCCACGAGAAGCGCGTTCTGGCCCTCGACCTATCAGCCATAATGGCTGGCTCCGGCATCCGCGGCCAATTCGAAGAGAAATTCAAGGCGCTCATTCGCGATATCGAAGACCAGGTGGGTATTGATTACCCCTTTGCTGAAACATGGCTGACGGAGGGAGGAGGAATTAGGCAGGCAGCGTGATATGTTTCATCGACGAACTTCGTGAGTATAAGATTACGCATGGGATGTGAACCCGTCCTGACGCGTAATAGACACGTTATTCCAACTTGGCAAGGCCGAAGGCAGCATCGACGCAGGCCAGATGATCAAGCCCGCCCTCGCGAGAGGCTTACAGCTCGTAGGAGCCACAACGCGTAAGTCCGATCTCCCCACACGTGTCTATGAACCGCTGTACTGATACAGCATAGCCGAGGAGTATAGGAAAACCATCGGGAAAGATGCCGCCCTCGAACGGCGGTTTCAGCCCGTCCAAATCGACGAGCCCACCGTCGAATCCACAATTTCGATCCTCCGTGGTCTCAAACCAAGGTACGAGGTGCACCATGGTGTCGAAATATCCGATGGCGCGCTCGTGACAGGTCAGTATCTCCCGTTTTCTCCACATCGAATACACCGCTCAACTCCAATGCAGCCGCCGTCTACGGTGCCCGTTACATATCGGACCGCTTCCTCCCCGATAAAGCAATTGACCTAGTCGACGAGGCCGCCTCGGCATTGCGTCTAGCGCAAGAGTCCAAACCCGACGAGCTGGAGGCGCTCCATCGCGAGATCGTGACGCTGCAGATTGAGCTCGAGAGTCTGAAGAACGAAACGGACGTGTTCAGCGTTGAGCGGCGGGAGAAGGTCGAGGCGGAGCTCAATGCAAAGAATGAGGAGGCAGCCAAGCTCACATCTCTGTGGCAAGCGGGTGCGCATATTTCGTCCCCTATATATCTGTTCCCGAGCACTCATTTTGTTGGGTAGAGCGGGCAAGGCTGGAGCGCATCAAGAATTTGAAGCAGCGCCTGGAGGAGACGAAGCACCAGCTGGAGGTGGCACAGCGGCAAGGGGAGTACGAGCTTGCGAGTCGTCTGCGCTTCTCGACGATCCCCGAGCTGGAGCGGCAGCTGCCCACGGAGGGCGACCCGAGCCATCAAGGCGCCGAGTCGCCGCTCGCGATGCTGCACGACCGCGTCACATCCGACGACATCGCCCGCGTCGTTGCGAAGTCGACGGGTATCCCCGTGCAGAATCTCTTGAAGGGAGAACGCGACAAGCTCGTCCATGTACGTCTCTTCCTCTCCTGGTTTGGTTGTTGGTGGGAGATGCTGACTGACTGCGACTTGGGTAGATGGAGGATACGCTGAGGAAAAGGGTGGTTGGGCAGGACCATGTTGTGGCTGCTATTAGCGATGCGGTAAGGATATCGCGTGCGGGGTTGCAGGCGCCGAATAGGCCGGTGGCGTCGTTCCTTTTTATGGGCCCAACGGGAGTCGGCAAGGTACGTTCGTCTTTTGGGTGTGGTACGCGGATGTTCGACGTTGACCTTGCTAGACTGAGCTCTGTAAAGCACTTGCGGCATTCTTGTTCAATGATGAACAGCGTGGTCTGTGAGTTCATTCCTTTTTATGTACTTTTGATAGTGCTTTGACGGTGGGATTTCTGACAGGATCAACATTAACATGTCAGAGGTATGACGGAATTTCACTTCGAGTCTTCCTAATGCTTAATGTGTTCGATAAGTACCACGATCGACACACGATATCCCGCTTGATTGGAGCAGCCCCTGGATACGT